AAAAAATTCATAAAAATTTTAATAAAATTATAGCATTTAAAATATTTGATTATTATTTACATAATTGAAAAAAAAAATTATCATCATTTTCACATTATATTCAACCAAGCTCACATGAAAAAAATATACCAAAAATAAAAATCAATTGTCTCCAAGAGTCTTAATTTCCAGCGTATTTAACGTTGGCCAAAACAAAAAGCCTTTATTGAGATATGACTTGCAAGGTGCAAGGCCATCATCATCGTGAACCCCTGCACTTACGTTGAATAATGAAATCGCGTATTCTGCGTTGTCAGCTTTCCTCGAAATCTCCGTCCGCTTTTCATTTTTGGAGAGTAATGATAACTGGTAAGGTTTTTAAATATAAATAAAAGTTAAAGTTATTTTTTTTCTGAACAAAGTCAAGATAACGACTTGTCAACCTCGAAATGCGTTAAGTTTACATGACAGCTGTTTGCCATTCCTTACTTTTTCGGAATTTTCACAAAAATTTCCACTTTCTATTCTAAGGCCAAACTTAGTGTAAAGTTTTCTCCGACATTAAGGATTTCTTTTTGTATTTTTTTTTTAAAAAAAAAGGAAAAAAGAAGAGCATTTTACTCGTTTTCTTCCCCGTAGGTTGTTTGTAATGAAGGGAGTATGTGTTTACTGAATAATGAATTGGAATATATATCCACTTTACATATACAGTGATGTAGATTGGATAAATGGTTTCCTTCAATTCCAATTTTTAATTTAAAAAAATTATATGCTATACTTATTCTTATATGGAGTTAACAAATTAGTAAACTATTAAATTGGTATTTTGATCTATTTAATAATATAAAATATTTTATTTATAATCAGTTTGTTTAAGATTTAAATGTCATTTTACTCATTAATTTCTCTCTTTCTAAGAAATTTCATGTAAAGTGAAATTCACAAAAATTTTCACTATGGCCAAACTTAATGTAAAGTTTTCCCAATATTAATATCATGGATTGCAATTTGTATTTTTTTCCCAAAAAGAAAAGAAAAGAAAGAGCATTTCACTCGTTTTCTTCTCCTCCACGTTATGCGTGTTATTGAATAATGAATTGGAATATATATCCAATACGTGTTCCAATAGTGATATAGATGGTTTCCCTCGATTCTAATTTTAAATTTGAAAAAATTTAGTATACCATCCTTACCATTTTGGTCAAATAAGTACTTATTCATATAAAGAGTTACGAGATTTTAAATATTTAAAAATAAAAATAAGTGCTTAAAAATATAATATGAAAATTGCATCAATCTACTTGATTAAACTAGTAAATAATTAAGTTAGTGTCTTAATTAATTTAATAATATAAAATATTTCCTCCTTTAAAAAATATAAGGCATTTTTTGAGGAGTTAGATGTTAAAAAGTGTAAGGCATTTTTAGTCTTTTGAGGTGTAATCATTGCTATTTTTTAAAAAGTACCCCTATTGATAATAACTTTATATTCATTATAAGGTGTTTAATAGAGATAAATATAAAAAGATAAGGTTAATTTAAAAGTAGATAATGACTGAGATGAGATTCAATTAAAAATACTTTATATTTTTAGAGGGAGTATTTGCTTATGACTAGTTAAGATAGTTTAATTTTTTTATCATTATTCCATGAATAGTAATATGACCGGTCTGATTGCTTAAAAGTCTTAGAAATTTTATGATGGGTCCCACCTGTACGTTTACCCTCAACAACCTCGCCTTCACTTTCCTTCCTCCTTCCCATTTATTTCCTCGTCCTTGTTGGTAAAAAAAAAAAAAGAATAAAAAAAACTCATCCTCACCATTATAAATTGATTTATATTCTTATATATTGGTGAGATAATTTGAAGGTATTTGATAAAATATTAATTATATTTTTAAATATTATTTTTATTTAAAAATATTAACTATAAGAGAGATATAATGCAAATTTAAAAAAATTATTTACATGCAGGTAAAATTGATTTTTTAAAAAAATTAATGACTTAACAATCTCTTTTTAATTTTGGTGAGGTGTTTAATTAAGACTTGAAGGAATATTATGTAAGCCTAAGCGAGAGCACATTAATTAGTTGCTCATCATTATTATATTTGAATCATTCAGATTTAATATTGATAGTTTAAATTTTTATTTTTATTTTATATTTATTAAAATAAAAATTTAATCACGATAGTTTTGATTTAATTCTTGGTGCTCCATGCTTCCAATTTAGAAATGAGAAACTAGGCAAACCTGGCCTTTATAAGCTTGGTCTTTAAAGACTCAAACCCTAAAGCTTGATTTTTCAATTTTTGTCCTAATCTTGAGGCCCAATCCTTATTCAAAGGGCTTAAAGCCAGGCCCATAAGCTCACTTTCAAAAAGATAAAAAAAATTAACATTATAATTTAAATAGAATATTCTAAAATTTAATATAAAACAAATTAAGGTTTCGCATTAAACGAATATTTAGAAGTCTACATTTAAGATAAAGATTAAATATTCATCAATATCAATCTAAATCTAAATCTTCCTCCTCATCTAAAAATAGAATATTAGATTCGTTATATGTATATCTACTTGTTGAAGTTGAAGATGGAGCTGGAAGTTCAATATCAATTATCTCTGTAATTTTTTCATCATCATCTACAATAAATATTAAATAAATTATGTCATTATTAAATGCATGCACACACATATATCAAAAGACAAAATATAAAAATTATCATAAAATGGCACAAAATCATTTAACCATTGGTACAAATTAATGCTTGCACATAGGCAAGAATGATACTTTGTTAGAACACGAGAGTTTATGCTAAAAGCCAATTCACTAATTATTATAGTGATCAAAATACTTAAAACATTGCATGTCATACTTGAAAGATTGGAAAATTATTGTTAATTAATCTTTCACCAATATAACCCATCTAATTCAGGAAAGTGGTGACCATCAAGGGAAGCTTTTTCTAAATAATAATCTAATTTAGATTTTCTAGGGGAAGAAACATCTGTACTTTTAAAATTGAGAAAATCCCACATTTAAAAAAATCCCCAATCTAATCATGAGTTTTTATTTTTATTTTTTAAAATTGTAACAGGGCTTGACAGGCTGCTCGAACCCGAGCTCTTTTTTTTTAAAGCTTATCAAGGCTAGGCCCCAAAGTTTGGTTACCCTAAAAATCACACATTTTTAAGCTCAAATCTTTATTTAAACATGGCCTTCAAACCCGATTCTTATTTCTGACTCTATTCTCATTTACTTCTTCTATTTCTATGTATAAGAGATTTTCTATAACTTTTTTATCCCTAAATATGAAAGACTCATAAATTTACTTTAAAAAAATTATTTTTTATTTATAATTATTAGGGGTAAAACTAAAATACTACTATGCTTTTAAATAGATAATTTACTTTTATTAGTTTGTATAATTTGAATAAAAATATGTTACATGAGCATTTTTCCCCAATTGAATGAGTGGTGAAAAGCATCCGTACATGAGTATTTCAAAGTGAAATTCACAAAAATTTGGGTCCAGGTTCCTTGCGCGCGACCTCTCTTCTCCTCTTCTTGTTGTTGTCCCAACTCATACTGGATGGGGCCTTATTAAGTTATTATCAACAAGACCCATGTATATTTTGGTGATATTTTTACCATAATTATTTAATATAACTACCGAACTCCAAAATATAAGATAAACATATTCAATTCTTTCAACCAGTTTAACAGAATGCCTTTAATAAAATAAATAAATAATTTTGAATTGTTAAAATTTAACGTACTCAATTTATAATGGCAATAAAATAAATAAATAAAATATTTAATTTATAAAAAATTTTAATAACATTATGCAACTATAAACTGTGCAAGTCGAATTTTAACAATTTAAAGTCATTTTTATGTGATAATTATTTCATAAAAGAATCAAATTTGTTGGTAAAAAACAATTAAATCTGAAATATTGATTTTATTATTTAAGATTAAAGATAACTAGATAAGAAGAGAAAGAGAAAGAGAATTAGGAGGGCAACCACTTCCCAAAAATTTCCACTTTCTAAGGCCAAACTTATTATAAAGTTTTCTCCATCATCAATGTCATGATGCAATTTGTATCTTTTTCTAGGAGAAAATAAGGAAAAGAAAGAACATTTTTCTCGTCTTCTTCACCTGTACGTTGAATGTTGTATGTGTTATTGAATAAAGAATTGGAATATACATCCACTGCACATATAGAGATATAGATGGTTTCCCTAAATTCTAACTTGTTTTAAATTTGAAAAAAATAGTACTATACTTATTTTGGTAAAAAAAAAATACTTATTCTTATAAAGAGTTACTGAAATTTTAAATACTTAAAAATAAAAATAAGCGCTTCAAAATATAGTATGAAAATTCTGGTTAACAAACTAATAAATAGTTAAATTAATGTCTTAATTAGTTTAATAATATAAAATAGTTTGTTTATAATTAGTTTAATTACTGTTAAATTAAATTTTCAATCATTACTCTTTCAATGGTGATTTGATCGGTCTGATTGCTTAAAAATCTTAGATATGTTATGACGGGTCCTGTCTGTATGTTCCCACGAGTCTGCAACCTCACTTTCACCTTCATGCCATTCTCATTACTTCTTTGACTTGGCCCTCACCCTCCTTCCCAGTCATTTACTCCTCCCTACCATTATAATCATAAATTAATTTACATTCTTAACGGTGAGATGATCTAAATGGTATAAAAAAATGAACTTGTCTTCTGCAAATTCAGTGTGATCCATTGCTTCATTTCTCGACGATTGAGATGAAGAAAAGCAATTGCAGACTCAAACTCCATCTTTGTTCTTGTTAGTTCCTATTGCTGCTTTATTATGCCTCACAGCTGCTTCATTTAGGTTTTCACAGTAAGTAAACTCATTCAGATTGGTAAGCAAAATCTCTCTGTTTTTTTTTTTTAGCTGCTTCATTCAGATCTCAATTTTGGAGAAACTTTGATATCTTGGTTTCATTCCTCCAGGACCAGCTATCATGACAACACAATCATCAACAACATCTTCCATCCATGATCATTGGACTTATGATGTCTTTATCAATTTTAGAGGAGAAGATACTCGTCATGGCTTCACAGGATATCTGTATAATGCTCTAACTAAAGTGGGAGTTCACACCTTCATTGATGATGAGGAAATAAGAAAGGGCGATGAAATTACTCCAACACTTTGCAAAGCAATTGAAGAATCTAGGATGGCCATTTGTGTGTTTTCTAAAAACTATGCGACATCAACATTTTGTCTTGATGAACTTGTCCACATCCATCAATGTTTTAAGAGAGATGGACGGCGAATTTGGCCAATCTTTTATGAAGTGGAGCCATCAGAAGTGCGACATCAAAAAGGGAATTATGCTCAAGCTTTGGATGACCATAAAATTAAAAACAAAGCTGATGAAAACAAGATGCAAATTTGGAAGCTTACACTACATGAAGTAGCTAATATCAGTGGCAAACATCTCATACCTAGGTAATTTGCACCATTAATCCTTGATTTTTCTTTTAGGATTAAGGATCATTTTTATCTTGTATATGAAGGTTCATAAATGACTCTAAATTTAAATTAAGGGTCAATTTTATCCTTTAATCTCAAATTTTACTTCCTCCATATCTAGGGTTAATTATCCATTTGGACTTACTCCATATTTTTTTATTATTTTTTACACCCCACCTATCACTCTCTCATCCACCTCTCTCCTCTCTCTCCTCCTGACTCTCTTTCACTCTCTCCTCTCTCCCCCCATTCCCTCTCTCTCTCTCTCTCTCTCTCTCTCTCTGCAATCTTGTGCAAAAGCATAAGCATGTTTGAATCAAGAAGGATCAAGAATGTTTACACAAGAAGGTTCTTTACCATGGCAGAAACTTCTTCGGTTATGAACTTGGCAATGTGGGTTCTTGGCATGGAAGATGGTATTTAGTGGGTTCTTGGCAACTTCATCTCTCCTCCCCCACATTTTTGCTCTCTCTCTCTCTCTCCCCCTCTAGAGCTTGTCCGGCCTCGCCACCACCCATTGTCGCCTCCTTCATCGCTAGGTTGCTATATAGCACCGATTCAACCTCCATACTACTCACATTCTCAACCCTACTGATAATCTCTCTCTTCCTCCACATCACTTCTCTCCTAGGTTGCATAGATACGGGTACAAATATCTAATACGATATGGCATGATATGACGATATGCAAATTTTTAAAATTTTAGAATACAGGCATGGGGATATTTATAATATATATTTCAACATTTTATGATATAGATATAGGTATTTTATTTTTAGACTATAATTTCTAAAGAGTATAAGGATATTTATAGTAATCAATCAAAATATTAAGTGTTTTTTTTTTCAAGTTTTTAAGTGATATAGTAAAAAATTATTGAAAAAAAAATTATATTATAAATGTTAGAATGTGGGACACATGTGTAAAAGTATCTTACAAGTATCATATCGGATACATATAAGATATAGGTACATTTAGTTTTTCGAAGTATTTGTGCTTCATAGGTCTCTCTCTTCCCTGCTCACTTCTCTCTCTCCCCCCTCTCCTTTCTCGCACACACTACTCTGCTCATCACATTCTGTACCTCAGAAAGGAAGGCCAAATAGATGAAGCAAGCCAATAATATCTCCAACGAGTTGAGTCCTCTCTCTCCTCTATTTTCTCCCTTCTCTCATCCTCCCCTCTCCCTCTCTTCCTTATCTTCATCCAATGATAGCTCTTCCTTCAACCTCATCCTCCTCTTTATGTTTCTTTGCATCTTCTGTTCTCCTATCTTTGAAGTAGCAAAAGCCCCCACTCTCCTCGTGATTGCTATTCAAATTTGATGTGGATGGGTTTAGTGCAGTAGTAGATGACGACAACAATGAAACTAAGCCACCGTGAACCTGATGGAGAGAGAGTGATAGAAGAAAGAGAAGATGAGGAGGGTGATGTATTTGAGAGGTTTCTTCATGTTGTATGTGCTCCATATCATTGCTAGAGTGCTAGTAGTCCCGTGCACACAGCAACATTGACGTAGTGGCCATTAAAGTCAATCCTATGATTGTATTCCTTAGCAACTGAACCCAATTGAATTGAACAATATAAGCATGTAGAACAAGATCACATTGATCTTCTGCAACAGGTTTCACCATGGATGTTCCACTTGCTTTGATACTTCACTACCACCACCAGATCGTTGAACTCCTCGTCTACATCGTTAATCCCTCAAACCTTTTGGAGCTTCTTCCTCGATCCATCTTGGTCGCTCTATCCTGGTCACCTCACTAGATCATTGAGTTTGGTTTGTTTGGAAGGAGAAGCGAGCTGACTATGATGAAGATGATGAGGACATATTGAAAGACGAGGAGGATGGCAAGAAAGAGACGAGAATAAGTTGATGAAGAGGAGACGGTTGCAGAGAGAGAGAGAGAGAGAGGGAGAAGGAGATGAGAGAGGGGATAAAAATATAAAAAAAGTAATGCGGGATCCACTAATAATATTTTTAATAAAAAATATTAAAAGTTTAAAATTGTGTGCCCCATATAGCAAAAACATGGTGTGAATGCAAATAGAATCTTTAAAACCGAGGGATATAAATGACCTAGTTTAAGATCATTTGTGACCTTTTGCTTGCACTTGAGGAGAAAAATTGACCCTTTCTTTTACCTAACTTCATATTAGATTATAAGAAAATTATTATGAATTACTTGCATAGTAAGCATGGATTTATTGTGATTTTTCTCAATTTTTTATAATTTTTCAGGCATGGTTCATATGAATATCAATCAATTTATGAGATTGTGAAAGAAATCTATGGCATAATCAATAGTAGTCTCCCGTTACATGTCAACGATTATCTTGTTGGAATAGATGATAGATTGCAACGAATAAACTCTCAATTACAACTTGGATCAAATGAAGAGGTCATTATGTTTGGAATTTATGGAATGGGGGGCATGGGTAAAACAACTATAGCACGTGTCATGTATAACTCATTGGCAGATAATTTTGAAAGTTTGTGCTTTCTTGGTGATATTAAAGCAAACTCAATTAGCTTAGAAAGAATGCAAGAGAAAATGCTTTCACAGATTTTAGGGGTGGACATGAAAATTGAAGATGAAAAAAAAGGAGTTGCAATAATAAAAGAGAGGCTCAAACGAAAGAAAATCCTTTTGATTCTTGATAACGTTGATAAGTATGAGCAATTGCAAAAATTAGCTGGTAATTGTGATTGGTTTGGTGCTGGCAGTAGGATCATTATTACGACGAGGGACAAGCATTTACTTGTAAAGCATGAAGTTGAGAGAAAATATGTGATGGAGGCATTGAATGATAAAGAATCTCTTAAATTATTAAGTTGGAAAGCCTTTAGAAGTATGCAAGTTCCTGCAAGTCACAAGGAAGTTGTGGAAAAGGTGATGCATTATGTGCAAGGTCTTCCCTTAGCACTAGAAGTTATAGGCTCTAACTTGAAAGGTAAGACAATAAGGGAGTGGGAATCTGCATTAAATTTGTATAAAAGAATTCTTGATAAAGACATTTATCAAATATTGAAAGTAAGCTATGATGGCTTGAAACCAGTTGAACAAGAAATTTTTCTTGATATTGCTTGCTTCTTCAATAAAACCTTCAAAGGAAGATCACTGAACTATGTCGAAGAAATAGAGGAACGAGTTTGCAATCTTGATCCAAACTACAGTATTAGTGTGTTGGTAGACAAATGTCTTGTAAAGATTGTGGGTGATTGTATTAGGATGCACGATTTAATACAAGATATGGGAAGACAAATTGTTCATCAAGAATCACCAAATGATCCTGGAAAACGTACTAGATTATGGATCGATCAAGATATAACTCAAGTTTTGGAAGAAGATATAGTAAGTGGTGCTACTTTGGATTATTTAGGACTTATTTGGTTTCTATTTTCATTTTTTATTTTTAGAAACTATTTTGTAATACTGTTTTTAAATTTTTTTTAAAACAAAACAAAATGAAAATCTAGTTGGTTATATTAATTTAAAAACTATTTTAGAATTATAAAATTAATTGATATTGATAGTTGCAAGCAGTTAGTAGTGATTTTTATGATAAAAAATCAATAAAATTATAAGGATTGATAATTGTGTTTTTCCTTAATATTATTAGTACTTGTTTAATGATTGATTTATGTTGGCTTATAAATGAATACATAAAATTGAAATTATATTAAAGAATTCATAAAAAAAAAAAAGAACAGACATGTGTAGCTAATAATGTATGATTTTTATTAATTTGTGATTTTTAAGATGTCACTGATAATTTGTTAGGACATCTTTTTATTTTCTGTTCTAATTTTATTATTTATTTACTTCTTTTGCTTGAAGGGCACAAATGAAGTTAGGATCATAGCTTTAGAAAATATGTCCAAACATACAAAAGTAATTTGGGATGGTAAAGCCTTCAAGAAAATGAAAAATCTCAAAATTCTTAGTTTAAAGAATTTAAAGTTTTCAGATGGCCCCAGATATCTACCCAACAGTTTAAAAGTGCTAGAATGGCAAGAATATCCTTCATCATCTTTGCCACTCAACTTTCATGCAAGGAAACTTTTTGTAATGAATGTGCCACATAGTTGTTTAAAGTCGGTGGAATTTATTAAGGTAAGGACCTCATCTTATGTGCATTTATTTGGATACAAGTAGCCCTCTATTTGATGATTGATGATTGATGATTTTTTTAATTAGAATTTTTTATGGTTTTATTTTCTGCAGACGGCCTTGAATCTAAGTGTTTTGAATCTCAAAAAGTGCCAAAATATTACACAAATAACCAATTTACCTGCCCTCCCACATTTAAAAGAATTAAATCTTGCTGGATGCAAGAATTTAATTGCCATTGATGATTCAGTTGGAGAATTAGAAAGACTTGAAATCTTAGATGTGCATAAATGTGCCAAACTTAAAACCTTTCCCCGTTATATCAAGTCATCGTATCTTAAACGGCTGTGTCTTTCATATTGCTCAAGCCTGAAGTACTTTCCAAAAATACTAAAGAAAGTGCAACTAACACAATTGGAGTTAAGGGAAACTGGGATAGAAAAACTGCCTTCATCAATTTGCAATCTTATTCATCTTTTGAATATAGAAATTAGTGGGAAAATCGAGCCACCAAGTTTGGACTTTTTGTTTCCAAAACAATGTGAGAATTTTGATGAAGGTCATGGAAAGTTGCTGGAGGAAGTGATTCCATTTCGACGATTAAGGTTAGTTAACCTCCAAAAATGTATCATATCAAGCAGTAAGAGCCTACAAATTTATCTGTGTTGGTTCTCAAATGTGGAAATCTTGATGTTAGACAATAGTGACTTCACAATTCTGCCTGCCTGCATTAAAGAATGCAGGTTTTTGGAGGTACTTTCTTTAAATGGGTGCAAGTATTTGCAAGAAGTAGAAGGAATTCCACCAAACATAAGAGTGTTGGATGCAACAGATTGCATATCGTTGAGTTCAGAGTCGAGAAACTTTTTGTTGAGTGAAGTAATTAATTTTTCTGTCTTTTGATTTTTTTTTAAATATTTACACATCCATTAAGTATTTATGAGACTCTCCCTTGTATAGACACATGCATATTTCTTTTGTTTCATAGGAACTAATTGGGACTTCACTGATCAAACATGGGCTTTATAGAACCATCCAATTCATGGTGCCAAGATCAAGCATCCCAGAATGGTTGGATCTCTGTAAGAAAGGAGGATCTATTTCTTTTTGGTTTCGTAACTCCTTTCCATCTCTTTGTTTTTGTGCTCTTCTCAAACCAAGTTCTGATGATGCAAGTTTGGATCCCGAGGTGCACATTAATGGAAAACCTACAAAAATTGTTCCATTGATCAGTTTTTCCAAAAGTATAAAGGATCATATATTACTCTATCAACTTCAAGGACATGGATTTAAAGAAGGTGTGTGGAATTATGCACAGATTTTAATTGAGAACAACTGTCAAGATTGGAATGATGTAAAAGAGAGTGGAATTTATATGGTCAAACGATATTGCAATATGGAAGATATCCGATTCACTTGCCCCTTAAATTTGAATTCTATGAATATTGACCAAGGTACGTCTGCTATTTATAAATAGATTAATTGCATTAAAATTTTATGTTACTTGACTAGAGCACTTTATTTCTTTTTTCTAAGCAAACATTTAAAATTAAATCAAATATTTTCAAATGAAGGGAGTGCACTATGTATTATACCTTCAATGTTGGGGAAAATTCACATATTAAATTGCATTGTAAATTTCATTATATTATAGCTTGTCTAATTAATGTCATTGTAAGTGATATATGAATTCTATTTAGTTACATTAAATACCTTAAAAACATCAATAGTCCATATTCTAACTATATATACATCTATTGTTTGAGGAAAGGTAAGATGAGAGAAATCACACATGAATATTTATTCTTGAATAATAATTATAAAATTAATAGATTTGATGTTGGTTTCAGTTTTTAGAGTAAGAGAAAGAGAGAGGGACAATAGTAATTTTGTAATAATATTATTTATGTCATGCCATTCTATTCTTGACCCCTAAAGTGGGGCTAAAGATGGCTTGGAGAGCCACCTCGACCCATTCCACCTTTTAAAAAAAAAAAATTCCCTCAAATAATGACATAAAATTTTTAACCATTTCATTCCATTCCATATCAAAAAAGAAAAAACCACAAACAAGACAAAATTATAAATTTGAGAGTCAGTTGCAAATACAAGATGACAAAATTGCAAATTCTTGTAAATGTTCAAATAATAATGATATATTACTTTTCAAATTTAATAATTCAAATTTGTATTCCAAAGCAAGTTGCAAATACAAGACAACAAAATTTCAAATTTGTCTCCCCATTTAATATTTTGTAACTTTGTCTCCTAAGTTGTAATTTTCTCTTGTTGAATCGGTAACATGTTTTCCTCCTTTTAATAAGGATTAAATTTGAAATGAACTATGATATTATTTGAACACTTTTAAAAATTTACAACTTTATCTTTTAAATTTATAATTTCATCTTTGTGACTCACTTTTCTCTATTTTAATAAGAAACACAAATCTTAATAATTAAATTTTAAAAGTAACTTGTTATTATTTGAACACTTCTAGAGACTTGTAACTTTGTTTCCCAAATTTAAAATTTTGTATTGTTAAATTTGCAACTCATTTCTCAATTTTAAAATTAAAAACAAATTATATTATATATGAAAATACCAATTAAGGATTTAAGGGACTTACTTTGATCTTTAAAATTTGTTGGGATTTTAATAAAATGATCCCTTTAAGACTTATGTGTCATTCCCCTTAGATGTACATAACCATAGCACCCATAACTAAAACCAAATAAAATTACACCAAAATTATTTACATCCAAGGGGAAAAAAACACCCACACATAACATTAACCAAAGTTCTTGGACTTAAAACTCAACCTTTTTTATATTTATTAAAACTTAGGAAGCACCAGTGCCAAGAATAGAATGGATAACCTTAAGTCTAGTAAAAAGAAGGATAGATGAAGATTAAAGAAAACACTTATAAAGGTTATTGAATAAGATCTCTTAATTAATAATATTCTTAAAAGTTTGATTAATAATAAAGTATAAAGTATAATGACACTGTGCAATCTATGTATGCAACTGACCCAACATAGTAAAATAAGACTTATTATTATTATTTTATTAAAACTCAATTTATGTTTTCCAATATATATATATATATATATATAAACTCAATTTATTGTCATAGTGCAAACAAAACAATATCCTTATGGCCACAGACTTAGTTATGCTTTATTGTAATATTTTATTGTACCCACGCATGTTTGAAAATCTATCTTACCTTGAAGTGCATTTTTTTTTTTTTCCGGGTATATGAATGGGGAACTTCATTCAAAAGTAAACAAAGTGCCTTAGCGCCTCGTAATGATAGGGTATGATGGTCATTATATCAAAATGCAGGGTAATAAAATAATAAAATTGGGATGCATTAGTGTGGGTAGTATTGATTTATTGTTCTGTTCTATGTTATTTACTAATTAGGCCGCTCCAATTTGTACATTTTCATTCCTTGTCACCTGAGTTTTACAAATATAAAATCGTTGTATCTTTATAAATAGATTTTGGTTGCATATAATATAGGAGCATCACTCGAAATAATTTATACAAAAACATATTATAGATCTTTCAGGTTGTAGAAAACCAATACTGACAAAGTTGTGTTTCAATTAATTATATTCCCCACACTGTTCTTTAATTTATCTAGATGTTTACTTTGGTGTGTTGCATGAAATAGTTAAAAATGTTATATTATTTAAATGTGAGTAGATTTGAACTATGTAAAAAGTGTCTAATTGAATAAAGCAAAATTTAATAACTAATGCATAATAAAATAAAAGTATTCATAAACTTGATCTTAATATTTTAAGTGTGTACCCCACTATTCTTAAAACATTTATTTTCATCTTATTTTCTTCAGTGAAATAAAAATAATAACATCCATGACTTAACTACCATCATTATTCGTAGATGATATGAAATCCAATTTTTTGGAACATTCTTGACAAGTTGTGTGTGTATTCTACTTATATTCTTTAAAAGTGGAATCTAACAATTCTTTTAAAAGATGAATTTCTAGTAAATCAATTTCATGTTTATTCTTTGTATATTTATTTATTTTGCTACATCATTATTTCCTTCTCGCCATCTTCTCTCTGATAAAAGCTAATGGTTTAGTTTTAGCTTTGTCCTATATAACTGGTAACCCCAAGTATACTCTAGGGACTAGGATCCAGCACCTCCTTAATCCTCAACCATTCACAAACTTGTGACTTCTTCATTTGGTACGTTTGTAGGAAAAAAAACCAGATTTATTCAGCTTTGCCTGTTGACCTGATGCATTACTATGTGCCTCAAAAATAGATCTCAATGTTTCACAGCTTTTTTTAGCTGTCCTTAAAAAGAAAACAGGATCATCTCCCAAAAAAAAAAAAGGTAATATCATTTTTCAACACATTATTCCTAACCATATTAGACGGCACCTTAACAACAATTATGAACATATAAGGAGGCAAGGGGTCCCCTTGTCTTACTCCCCTACCAACTGTAATATTTGCTAGTTTCTTACCAAACAGATTTATATTGTACTTCATTGATTCAACGCATCCCATAATTTGCTTAAACCACACATCAGCAAATTCCATTTTGAGCAGAACTTCTCTCAAAAAATTCCACTCAACCCTATCATATGCCTTGTTCATATCAATCTTCAAAGCTAATTCATACTTCTTCCTCTCCTTGGTAATGAAAAGCTTCATGTGCCACAATAATATTACCTTCAATCACTCTCTCCTCAACAAAGGCACACTGATTTTGAGAAATCAACTTTGGCATAATACTACTCTTCACTCTATTTGTCATTACTTTAGCGATCATCTTATGACAGAAATTACAAAAGCTGATAGGTCTATATTGCCTAACATAAGTTTATCAACTTTTGGCATCCTAACCAAATCTGTCTTGTTAATATCCTGCAGATCCACACCTTCCTCCAAATACTTCCTCACAACTTCAAATAGCATATTACTTACCCACTTCCTCCCAAGAAAATGATAAAACTGACCTGAAAAACTATCAGGTCCAAGTGCCTTCTGTCCATCAAGTTGAAAACATGCCAATCTCACTTCTTCCCTGCTCACTTTCTGTGTTAACAGAAGATTATCACCATCATCAACACATTTATCCACATAACTGAGAGCCAAACTCATCCCTCTGCCTGGAACTAACAAAAAGATTCTCATAAAATTTTGCAAATTTAGAAGCAATCACAAACTCATCTTTTAAAATGGATTGGAGTCCATTATACATAAGAGCAATTTAAAAAAAAAAAAATGTACATTCAACCAAGGGGAAAAACTTGAAAATTTCACAAAGTTATAGGTTGTTTTCACATCATTGTATGTGATATATGAATTCAATTTTGTCATATTGTATACCTTAAAATCGTAACTTCTGCAATTAAATAATGTGCATCTACTTTCTTTTGCCTAGATGTGTGTGTATGCTTACCACAAATAAATAAATGAATAAATCATTGAGCAGAGAAGCTGTAGTGTGAGTTAAAAGTAATGAGAAATAATAATGATTGATAATGATGGTCATGTTAAAAGAATTTTAATTATTTACATTCTAATTTTCTATCCACCTGTATATGTACACGTGCATGTATGTCAATAATGATGGTCCTTCCACAGAAGAGCAACCAGTGCTAAAAAAGAGGCAGTTGATGGAGGATAAGCATGAAATTTTAGTAAGTTCTTATAATTTTTTTTTTGAATATTTTTAATTACTTTATATAGCCTTTACCTTCCATATTAATTAATTAACTACATTTCAATTTATGATATTTTACATTCAGGATTCCATCAATGTTGACCAAGGTGATGCTCTAGTCCTCTTTATTTTTCTAAAAATATCATTAGGAGTATGACGCATCCAACTTCCAAAAAATATAATTTAACGGAATAACCATGTCCATAATTTTATTTCAAGTAAATTTCTTACAATGTTGATCAAATTCTAGAATGCCGTGAATGTGAAAGTGTACATCCCAATATATCTTTCATGTACTTTTGAAAACAATGATATTTAGTTCACATATTTAACAAAAACAGAACAACCTCTTTTTTCAAGTAAGGACGATCTCCATGGCAATCTTCTACAGCTGCAGGTAGTAAAGCTCATTTGTTTTGGATTTTGAGATATTTGTTAGATTTTTGGTGGATCAGTCTACAAGTCTTCTTGAGTTTTCACAAATATTGTGTAGGAAATTGAATACCAAAGCAAAACACAAATAATAGACATTCAACCTCCAAGTAGAGCAAATGTAGAATTGGTTCAAATATGGAAGCCAGGTATGAATATGATGCAACAAGAAGATGAAGCTTCAGCCAATGATCAAATCACAAAGAGCTTTGAAAATGTTATAAATGGCAAAGGAAAAGACATAGTACTCTACAAAGATGATCCCATCAATGACAACAATATAACAGAGGTATATGTTGTAACTAATTTATATCATTTTGAAGATTAATCAGGAAATTTCTTCACAGGTATTTTGTCAAGTGAGGAACATGTACATTTACATTAAAAATTATATAACTTGTTTCCAGGTTGAAATTGAATCATACCATTTTTATTATATAGAAAATATTATGTTTTCAGCATTGGAAGAACACATAGACATTATATCCCAAGCATTAAGCAATATGATGTTTTCACCATTGCCAGTATTTTTTGGTCATTTTACCCTTCTTTGATGTGTATGTTTCACTGTTTTTTTTAGGTGGGAGATTAGAGATAAATAAAGAGTGTTTGATAAAAACACACATGCATACACATTAATATAGGGAAAATATTCAGAATATGTGAACCGTAGAGTTTCAATTGTGAAATGCTACTAGTTGATTAACTTTTTTCCCCCTTGTTGCATGATCAGATGACTGGACAAGAGGACATCTATGTCTCAAATGGCAGCATGACATGGGATCCAATGGAATGGGAAGAATATGAAGCAACAAGTCATGATAATAATAATAATAATAAGGATCAACGTGAGCAGAGAAGAGATCATCCATGGTTTTTGTGTTTTAATCTCTTCACTTTCGTTGCCTCGCTCTGTTCTTCTTAATCAGATCTTTTTCCATTACAAGACACTAGAATAAATTATCATTGGACTCTTAATTTGAACTCTTTTGCTAGCTATAAATTCTGGACTTTGGGCTCTTCTGTAATGGTTTTGGTTTCCTCATATTTTGATGGCAAATTAATTCAGATTTGGATCATTTGAATTCACTGCAAACTGTTTGATGCAAAATTCTTGTCCATATGATTTGCATTACACTTTTCTCTTCCAGCCAAGTGCAGTGTGTAAGGTCCCCACTTACAAATTTAATTGATCATTACATTAATACACACACACACACATTATATATTTATAGTAATTAATCTCTTAATGATAAATTAATGGTAGGAGAGTAGACTGGAAAATAACATCCATGCAATGTTTCAGAGCATTTCTTAAAGTTTATCATTAAGACAATTCATATTCAAATCAGAATACACAAGCTTCAATTTTTTTTTTTTTTTTTTGGCTGGGGGTTACCAAAGATTTATTTTACACTCAAGTAGGAGTGCAGGACCATCTTCCAGGAGGATATCCCTAATGGAGCCAAACTGCTCGAGACAAAACATACTTGTTTAATCATTTGGGTAAAGCATCTCAAGCTTGTAGGTCCTTTTAACAGTTTGGTCCTAGAGCTATAGCCTATATATTAAAAACAAAGCTATCATATTTACCTTCTTTTCAATATTAATCAATTTTAGTTTGAATGGCGTCTTTGAAATGTTCTATGATCTCCTTTGATTTAATACCACAAGATCAAATCTAAAACCTTATGCTTAATCATGTGAAATAACTGATCAAGGACAAACAATTAATCACCAGGAGGAGAAAAAGGAAGACAAGCAATCCATCGACCAATTAAAGGATTTCAAATTAATACGAAAAATGCAAATGAAATATGGTTAGTTCTAGTGTAATCTCCTGTCAAAGCAATAGTGAAATAGGGAAATTGATTCTTCTTTGCATGGTAGGGAGTTTTGCATATAACAAAAAACTAAGTCATCATGCAACTGAATCAACAGAATTAGCATTTCTAGACACATATTTACTCCCAAAAATACCCCATTCAATTGCATACTAACTAGATTACCTTCCGTTGTTAGAAGCATGTAAATATTTGATTCTACTTACTCAATCAAAGTCATGTGGAGTTACAATAGCTTTTTTGCCAAGTTCCCCAAGAACACAACAGTTTTTTCTTGCAGTGTCCATTGCCACCACATCTTGAGCAAATACACAATCTGAACCCACAGAAACCTGCACAGCAAAAAACCAAAAAAACAAAAAAAAAAATCAAACAGTGTCTAATGGGAGTTACTCATTGACAAAGTTAATGGTAGAAGAGTGGAGGTAAGATATAAGTCATACACAATGATATTTTTTCATGTCTTTCTTTTTACCAATGCATGAATGTAAAGAATCTAATTTAAAAAAGTTTATCATGCAAGATAATGTTACTAAATCATCATATCAGCTATTAAGTCAGCATTGAAACAGCAGAAAATGATGTAGTTACACCTCATCTTGATGTTGTAGCTCGAGAAACTAGGCTCCTAAATATGTAGCTTGGAACATGAAGCACTTTAAACTTTCATTATAAGAATATTCAAAGGAGCATGTCTATCAAAGAGCAGTTTGTTTATTTTTTATTTTTTTTTTTTTTAACTCTTGAGTTGTTGGGAGAAAGTAAGCTAATCATGAAGGTTTTGTTAGGGGAAATAATTTATTTTTGTCTTCTTTTTTTTCATAAGCTATTCTAAATAGTTTATCAAAATAAGCTTTTCCCAACACATCCCCTTAAATCCTCCCAACAACTTCATACTTCCCAATCCAACAATGTTTCCATGGTTAGCCTAATTAAAAATCACCTTTTTTAATCTTCAAACAAACTGTCTCTAAAGCAACTTTGAAGCATGAAGATGAGAGTTTGTGAATGACGAACAAATGAATGCTTATAACACAATAAATTAAATGTGGCGGTGTACTAATCCATGTAACAGAACAAAATATCCAAGCTCAAAACTCAAGTTTTATGCTGATGTTAGCATCATATTTTATACTAAATTTTTAACTTGATCAAGTCAAAAATATAAATTTGTTCTTAGCTTCTTCGTTCAGTAATTTTTGGATGTGTCCCTAGACATGATCATGCCACATGAAATTTCAAAGCCAAAAAGTCGTAAAACTCACATCAAACAAGTTCTCTCCAAGCTTTAATTTTACTGCTCCACTCTTGTATACGAGCATTTTGCCCATGTAGCCACCAGACAATTCTTCCAGATTATTGCAGCCCTTCATGGAAGCTTCTGATGTACCTACTTTCTCTTTCCCTTTCCCACTCGCCAACTGCTTAACCAACGGCAGAGCAGGGAGCTGAAACAAAAGCATCTGTTTTTCCTCCTTTTTATCCTGTTGAAATTTTGTCATGCATGCGCACAGTCAAATGCACTGCCTGACAAAATGTTTGGAATTAATGTTACTGTAATTACTAACCAAGAGACCAAGTTCTGCAGCATTATTAACAGCATCCTCATCAAACTCTATATTAGTAGCAGCTTCCCCAAATTCTTCCTCATCGAGAATTTCTAACAGGGAAAAACAAGTAATTAGAATTCAATGTTACAAAGCTCAATAAATTCATCAGAAATGCCAGTGAAGATCATTAGTTCATTACTTAAGAAAAATCTTGAAAAAAGATTATGCTGATATAATTATTTTACGTTCTCAAGAACTCAATGGCCATCACAATACCACTTTAAGAAAATAATTGATATACCATGTTATCCATCCAGTCTCATTCATGAAATTGAATTCTGTTGATAGATCATTTGTTGAGTTTGATTAAAGCATACCTGGGTCCCCAGAATTAGGCTTCCTCAGAGGCAGAGTAGTAGGATAGTAAGATTGATGATCCTGTAGTTTAATTAAAAAAAAGATCTTAGAGCTTATCCTTTTGAGGAAGATGCAGATGCAGATGGGATAAGAAAAGAAGAGAAACCACGATTCCTAACCCATGGTTCCTGGTATTCCTGTTTTGTTTTCCTAGCTGATGCATCAATGACAGCATTAGTAGCATCTATCATACAAACATCACTTTGATTCTCCACAGCAGTTGAATGAAATGTTAAAACATCTTTCCCACTGCCAGAAGATTTGGTTGAAGAGCTGCTGCTTTGACCTCCATTCACACCCTTACTTTTACCATATGTCCGTAGGGATGGCGGTGAACTAGCACCGGGACCAAATGTAACTTGCACATTTGCTGGTATTTTTAACAGAAAACACAAGGAGCTAGTCAAATTAATCAAAAAGTCAAAAATGATGAAGGTAATGCAATTTAATCATAAACCATAAGCGGCTCACAAATTCAGGAAGCTACTCAAGGAGAGAGAAATGTGTGGCCAGTCAAACTGCTAAGTTGGTATTATAGTTTAGAGATATTTATAATGGCCAATTAACAACTGCTTTGTAAAAATGAAAAGTGTGACATGAATTCCATGAGCAACATGTCAGACTTGAAACTACAAAGCATGCCTCTCCCCAAATGCTAGGCAACCATGGGCAGTGTTCTTAAACAATAGTCTCACCCAACACTGAGACCATCCAATTCCTCGATACAAATGAAAGGGAAGATTTAAAACATTTAATTTTTGTTCCAGTTCAGTGATTTTTAAGTGCACTACAAATTATTAAGATACTTTAAGTCAAGATTGACTTTTGTGAAAGAAAGAAGAAACCATGACAGAATTTGATAACAGAGCAAATGATGTTTGTATCCACATCAATTTTTTGTGAGAAATCTGATATGGCCAATAAAATGAAGTAAAACTTCAAAGTAATCAGAAAATGTCAGTTGGAATACAAGATTATGTATGCTAAACATGTGATCGTTAATGTGAGGAATAAGTTTGGCAAATACCAGAAGGCAAGCAAGGCTATATTGCAAATAAGATCATTACATTTTTTTTCAACTTTAGGACTGCGTCTTGCGATACTCTCCTGCAAATCCAGATTGATTATATCAGCAAAAAGAGAAGAATGGAGCTTATAAGTTTAACGTAGAATTTACAATTTTTCAATATAAGTTCACACCAGAACAAACTGTTCCCCATGAAATTTAATGATTTTTTTACAAAAGCAAAGAGTCAAATCCCTCTAGAGAAGTAGCGCTGCCACAGATGAAACAAAGCTAGATCTTTTACAGTCAGAAATTGATTAAACATAATACAATTGAAAGGAAACAGAGAAGGAAGATGAAGAATGATGATCAGATGTTACGAAATAATTCTTTTGAACTGTAAATCATTTATGTTGAACAAAGTTCCTCAGTTTTTATTAAAGAAAAAGGAAACAGAGAGAAAAGATAAGACCAACATAAAAAGAAGTCAGAATGTGTCCATAATCTCCCTCCTTTGTGCAATCTTTTCTTTAAATACATAACTTGCGTGATTACAAAAACAGATTCAACTTACTTACATATTGTTGATTATTAACACTTCAAAAGTTTTCAGCGAAAGGGCGGAAAAAACTTCAAAAGCATTCCATGATGCATAAATGTTAATCATTAGGCATATTGTAAGAATGCTTCAGCATTGATTTTCTCGACATAATCAATCAGTAGCATCACGTAGAAATTAAAAAAGGGGGGGAAACTAAAAATAACTATTCAAGCTTTCTTTTTTGAAGGTTTCAGCAAAAAAAAAAAAAATTGTATATATATATTTTTTTTTTTTTTTTTTTTCAAAAAAAGTCTCTTAAACCGATCAAAAGGGTTCTTACGATCTTTTGAGAATTGCCACCTCTTCTCAGCAACCAAAAAATGAAAACGAAAAAGGTAAAATATCAACTACACCCAAAAAAAGGTGGTAAAATAATATCATTTGTTGCTACGCAAGCATAGCCAAACACACCCTAATATTTCATATGAATCCGTAAGAATAAATATAATAATCACTACACAATTAAATGTATGAGCTTAGGATCACGTGAGATTACACCTGGTTGCATATCACCCCCCCCCCACAAAGTTTTTTTCAAAAAAATAAAATAAATAAAAAAGCCATGTGGATGCATGATGCATCTAATCTTGATATTATTCTAAAATTATAAAATAAGAACGGAACAGAACAAAACAAAGGGGACGCCGCTTTTAACTTGAATAGTCAATACAATTCGTGCAGTTGCAATCAATTTTCCATTGTAATTATAGAGTTCATTTTGCAAGAGAAAAAACAAGCGGTTCAGATTTTACATGTTCACAAAAATACATGTGTAACTGTGAGATGATGTACCTGAAGAAAAGTTTAAAAAAGAAAAAAGAAGCGAAACGAAAATACTGCAAGCTTGATGCCAAAGGCCCAGAGAAGACAGCCACTTTTTTTTTTTTTTTCGGGGTTAATCTTGGGGCTTCAATTTTTTTCCTTTTTCGAAAAACAGAACCATTTCTTTACTTTTTCTTTCCGGCGAAATATGTCTCTTCTTATTTCTATCTCTCCAACCAAAACACAAAGCTAACGGTCTTATCGACTTCAATTAACACAGATCAACAAAACTAAGCACAAGGACGAAGAGTCTGTAAGAATGATATGATTCAAGTGCAGATCTTCAAACCCACAATTGAAAGAATGAAAACAGAATAAGAGGAATAAGTGAAACTCACGTTCATGTGACGTAACAGAGCTCGAGCCTGAGCACTTTCTCCATCATCTTCATCTCCAGCTTCACTGCATCAACAATAACTATAATCAGGAAAATTTCGTCCAGACTTCAGAGGGAAATGGTGGAAATTCACAGTAAATTCCAAGGAATTACTATTTCGGCGTCTTTGGTTTAGGCTTCCTGGTAGGAGGAGATCTCGGAGCGAACTTTACCTGCAGAGGAAATCGAAGTCTGAGACTCGAAATCGACTCTTGTTTGATGAAATGAGAAAGAATTCTCGGAATCTGAATAGAAAATTTTACCTTTCTTCGAGTAGAAGATGACTGGTTTCCATCCATGGCAGCAGAAATGAAGACAGATGGATCGAGTCGAAAAAGAGAAACGAGGAACTAGGGCAAGTTTCGAACCGAAGACCCGTAGAAGGATAACAGACCTCAACACCGCTGAGATTAGATCATGGGTGCTGCTTGGGATCCCTTTTTTTAGATAATTCTAATACTACATTAACCTATATGTTTGTTTTATTTAAAAAAATTGATAAAAAACTTATAGAATATGAAAATTAACATAATCTAACGCATTAGAAAAGTACATAAAATTTTTTATAAATATTTAATTTTTTTACAGCTCAACATCACTTGTAAAGAAAACTTAAAATATTGAATCATTAATAATAAATAAATTTTTGATTTTTTAAAAAAAAAATGAATTGAATCTTGAGTCCATTTATTTTTTTAAGCCCATAATATCATTTTATCAGGACACGTCATCTACCAAGGAGCTTGTACTTTTGAGAACCCATCCACCTCCGCAACTTGTCTCAAGCATCAATTTTCGAAGGCCAATGCAATAATTAGTTATTCAATAACTTTGCGTGTTTGACTGCCGGTTGGAAGTTGTTTCTACGCAAATTGGATTTCACAAATGAAAACAAAAATTAAATTTGATTTTACAAATGAAAACAAAGGTTATTTTAAGAACAGAGGGAAAATAGGTTTTAAGGAACTTGTACCCAAACAACTTGGAATGTCATGGAATCCTTTTTTAGGCTTCTACCAATAAAAGAGCCCTAAATCATACCAACCAAATAAAGGAAAAGGATGGGTGTATTTGGTAACTTGTTTTGAGAACAATTTTATTACTTTTCAAAACAAAAAGTTAAAATTTATGTTTAGTAATGTGTTTTTGGCCGAGTGTCTTGCAAAACCAAAAAGGATAAAGGTATTTTTTTTACATTTAAAGTATTTTTTGAGTTGCACCCAACATCTAAACTATTTGGTGTAATATTTTTCACCTAAAATAATTAAAACATAATATCTATTACTCCGACGTTAAATTATAATTGTTGATCATTAATAGGATGTGAGAGAAAGTAGTTTAAATATCTAACAAACATTTGTGATTATTTAACATCAGGGCAAAGAATGTTACATTTTAATTACTTTAAAGACAAAAATATTACATCAAATAGTTTATGATGCTGGATACTTCTCAAAGAATATTTCAATAGCAAAAGTGACCCAACAAAAAAAAACACTATTGTTATAGGCAATAGAAAAAAAAAAGAAAAGTTTTTTGGAATTATTATTTTAGTCCCATGAGGTAGAGAACACCTATTTTTATTAATAGCATCTTCGTAAATAATCTAAGCTTTTTCTAAGCCCTTTGTCGCTATTACTCTCTTTCTAAAAAACTAATTTAATAAAGGTGTGCAGCACACCTACTTATACATCAATGACCCTTATCAAGCCCTCTTAATATGAGACACAACAGCTTCATCAACAAATTCGTGTCGTCCCGTCACTAATGGTCCACTAAAAGGGCCCATTGATTGACTAAACTCGAGTCCAGCTCTAATATTACTTTATTATGATGTTATTAGTCTTTCCTCAGAGCTAGCTGAGTAGATCTGTGGATGTGCAGCATACCCAGAATCATTCTCAAATGTTTTCGATGTGGGACGTAATGCCTCGCTGCCTTCTTCATCCTTTCTTCTCTATGCTTCAATTGATCATGTTTGTGTTGGAATATTTATTTATGGATTAACATTAATTAATAAGCCCCAACAGATTGGGCTTTATGATCTTGTGTGAACCATAATAAGTAGACCATGCAAATGAGCCTAATGGGCAGAGGCCTAACCCACAACCCAGTAGCCTTCAGTTATTCTCTATCTCTTAATTGACTGAGTCAAAGATAATGAAATATAATTATTTAATTACTTAATAAAGCGGTTACTGATCTGATCCTTATAAGTCAAGCAGTCGATAACCACTAAACACACAATACATTTTCTTCTACTCCATTATCTATGTACTCTCTGAAGACTCTGGGGTCTAGTGGGTTGTGCGTCCGTCTACACTCAAGGTGACAGAGGTATCTCTAGTAAGTGGTCATAGATTCTTTAGGTATGCACATATTACTTTATTCTATCGTATTCGATCATGTATGAATTAAGATATTAGAATTAACATGTGGCATTAGAGCCTTGGTTACGAATTTTGAATTTATATATACATATATATATATATATATATATCTCAATTCTGTTTATGTATATAAAATATGTTAATAGAAATACATGATGATTTGTTGGATAATATGTTTCAGTTTCTTACTCCTTTTATTATTGGATTTGAGAATTTTTTTTGTTTAAATCCTCTTACAAATGCAAAGAAACGAGTAGCATTATCCTCCATCAATTTATGTAATAGAATCATAGTATCTATGAATTTCTATCAATCTTTAAGAGAAGACGCTTCTTTGAGTTACTGTACTGTTGTAAAAAAAACTCACCGAATGAGTTGCGTTGAACGCACCATCGGACGGAGATCTTGGTTGTAGGCGTCCTTCTCTCCTACCTATCATCCTCATTGCCGCAGTTTCGATTCTAGTTCACGTCGTCGACGTCGTGGTTGGTAGCAGCATCATCTTCCCATTTTCGCTGCACGGCATCACCCTCCTATGGTGTCTATGGCTGTACTATCGTCATCTGGAATAGTGGAAGACCCAGAAATGATGCAGACCGGATGAAGGTGGTTGCGCTAATGTTTTCCTTATTCACATCGCCAGAACTGTCTGCGGGATACTGGCACCATCTTCTTCCTTGGCTCTCTTTTATGAACACATGTTCTACTTAAAGAAATTGGTTCTAGGCCTAAATCGTATAGGCCCAGATTAGTGTTAAAAAAGTTTCCATTAATTTCATTTTGACCCCAATTTAAATTACATCCTTTACCCACTATTTCTTGTATTCACGTTATGACCCAATAAATTTCTGGAAATTATAAGTTGGTCCCTTAACTTTCAAAATTGCAATTTTGACCCAAATCTCTTCAGAATTACCTAGTTACCTTTGGACACCTTTCAAAATTTCACTTGAGTCTTAAATTTATTCTCTAATTCCTAAAAGACCCCAAGGACTTTGAAATTATTTTGTTTTGTCCTAAGGTCATAAAATTTGTGATTTTATAAATTATTGGTGATACTTAGGATCTTGTAGCATTGATAATAGACATACCCCATAGGTGTGACATTATTAATGTGATTTTGATGGTTGGTTTTGAAGATAAGCCAATAGCACTCTTTTAATGTATTAGATATTTATTGTACCCTATAGGTATGGAAATATTTAATGCATTATTTTATATAGACTTTTGTATAAGCTAAATCTTTATGGTATTTGAGCCTTCTTAGTACATTATTATAGTTGCAAAATTGATAATCACTTGTTGGGAAATTCTATTTTATAATTATATTATGCACGCATAATTATTATTTTTTATTTTTTGGTTTGTGATTTCAGTTTCTACTTTTATGCAACTATCCTCTGTGAAAGCTCTCAATAGGACTAACTATGATGACTGGAAAGAGTTCTTAAATATGTATATTACCATTTTTGAGAAAGATTTAGCTCTGAGAGAACCCAAGTCTACGAATCTCTCTTCTGAGTCCAGTGCTTCTAAAATGGCCTTCCATAAACAATGGAGTAAGTCCAACTGGATTTGTCTAGTTATCATCAAGTACACAATTGAAAAAAGAATTAAGGACAGCATTCTTGAAAAGGATACTTGTTGCTCATCATAAGTGTACGGGTCGTAGCAAGTAATATAAGATGGAAAAAGTATCGTTCCCTCGAGGATTTGTTTAAAAACAATGATCAAGCAAAAGATTAAGCAAATTCAATCAAGTTGAGCTAAACACAATTAGGAAAATTTTGATATTGCAAACTAAATTAACATGAGTAAATAAAGAAAAGTAATTGATTCACACACTTCAAACACAAATTAGGACCTAGGATTATTTATCCCTCTTGCATTTCATAACACCAAAATCACCTCCTCTCATAAATGCTTTTAATGAAAATAAGTGCTAACCTAGGGTTTTAAAAATACTTGGACAAGCTCTCTCAAGTCATGAACAAGTGTGTAATTAAATTAATTGCTCAATCTCTTGTTACAATTAATAAAACTCAATTTTAAACACCAACTCTAATGTGGCTATGCAAGGCTAGCAAGTATATCTCTATCGTACTAGCAAAGCTATCCATTCAAGATGCAAATATCAAATTCTTACACAATTTTACCCAAGTTCTACACTCAACCTAGCCCTCTCAAGTATCAATTAAGTGAACCCAATATCTAAATGGTGGCCAATCACTTAGAAGCATTAAGGAAAGAGCAAAATAAATACATATATATCATTAATCACAAAAAGAGAGGAGGAGCATAGTGTTAATCCATACAAGGATTTCAAATAATCCTAGAACAAAGGGTTTAGCTACTCATAATCATCCACAAGCTACAAATATACAAAATAAGTGGACCCATTTTTAATTATAATATAGGAAAGGGAAGAGGAATAGAAAAACCAAAGAAGAAGAGCTCCAAATGTTTTCAAAGCTTCAATCTCTTAATTCCAACTCTTCCAATGCCCAAACCCTAGCACAACCAAGCTCAAATTGTGTCTAAAAGTCTGAAGAATGCGTTCTGGCTCGAGCTCTCAGCTTATATGTGTCCTAGCCAACTAATTTCTGATAAATGAAATGCAGTGTTTTTCTGATAGCGGCGAAAGTCACGAACGAAGGTCATGACTTTGGCAGTTTTGCACTGTTTTTATAGCTAATGAAAATCATTCATTTTGCTCTTAATTTCTTCATCCAAAAGCCTTCTAAAAACATCCACAAAGCTCCAGAAATGCTTCTAATCAAAACTTCAATCAAAATAACATGAAATTAGGCTAAAAATATTAAATTAAAGCCAAGAACACAAGCCCAAAACAAATGCACATTTTCCTAATTTGGGCAATAAAAACATATACAATTGAACCAAAATGGATTAGAACCTAAGGAAAATGTGATGAAATAACAATACTGCAGTGGTTAACAATACTGCAATGGAATATTTGAAAGCTGTTGGTAACAAATACAAGAAGCTTGACAAGACTCAAAATAACTACTATTTGTCACTTC